CAGGCTCAACAGAGGTGTCCCAGTGGGCAAGAAAGCAAAGCAGGCAAGAGACCTGCGTGGATGAACAAGACTGTCCTGACAAAGCTAAAATTATTAAAGGATTAGAATATCTCTCATGAGGAAAGACTGAGAGAGATGGGACTATTTCACCTGGAAAAGAGAAGGCTGAAGGGCTGGATCTTACTAATACCTTTAAATATCCAATCTAAAGGGAGGGTATAAGTGGATAGGGCCAGACTCTTTTCAGTGCTGAACTGCTTGAAACACAAGAAGTTTTCCTGCTTACATTTTCTTGCTATTTTGAAACAGTTCTGTAGATCAAATCATCTTTCCCCTTCGATCTCTCATACAACCTGCAAGGCATCCTGAAAATGCATTCTAGCTCCAGCAGCTCTAGCTAAACAATACTTAATGCTTTCCAAAGCCGCAAATGGACAGAAGTTTCTAGAGTCAGTATTGCTGCTTTTTTCACTTTCTGCCTGAAAGTATTGTATAGTCCTAGGTAGAGTTATTTAGGTTATTAGAGTTATTATATTATTATTATATTATGAGTTATTAGGTTATTTAGGTAGACTGTCTCTTCCACCAACTATTCCAGATACAAATATTGACAGTCATGACTCAATGTAAGGGATGGGCCTTACCTTCTTCTCAGCTGGAAGTCTCCATGTGCCAGGAAATGCCTCTTGAGCTGATTAGCAAGAATAATTTCGGGCTCCTCATCAGAGCTGTTTCTTTATGATACAAGTTATTCACAGAGAGGCATAGTGCTATGAGGACATAGTCCTCACTCTGTCCTTTGTTCCTCTTCTGCAACACTAGCCTTGCCAGATTATTTCCAGCAATTTACTATCTAATTTTGCATGCCACAATACGCAACAACATTACATACTATACTGTATAGTATATACTATACATATACATTATATAGTATAATTTTCTACATACAAGAATTTTCTATGTTTTCTTGCAGCAAAAAACTCTAAGCTTTCCTCAGTAAGCCACTGAATTCCCATATACCTTGTCAGACTTTTTGATGTATTAACATATACTGACTTCAGCTAAACCTACTGCCAGTGCATAGGTCCTGGAAGGCTTTAACTAGCCCTCTTGTGGAAGTAATTTGCTATTATGTAAATGTGATTGCTATCTGAAACAGAAAATGTAAATCATATTAATTTTTTAAATGTAGCGTTAATTAGAAAAAATATGAAAAATTCATAACACCAGCGTTTAATCTGTGAAAGTTACAATACAAAGCAATCCTGTTTGGATGAGGATACTACAGGGAGCATAGACACACAGGATGTTGCTTCCCTCAGGGCTCTTGCATGGTTCTTTCCAATACAAGGAGAAAAATTTGCTCCAGAGCAGATATTTTCCTTGTTTTTGTATCTCTGTACAAAGAATGCACCCAAATCCTGTTTTCCTTGTCACATCAGAAACAAAAAATAGGAAGCAATTTCCTTGTTTCAAAATCCCATGGTGGGAAACTTCACAGTGGGCTCAGTAACTGAAGGTAAAATATGTAGGAAAATGAGATAAACGAAAATGTGAATTTATATCTTCAGTTATTCTCAGTAGCTTGAGTCTCATAATGTACAAAATCTGGCATTTCTTACATCTGCCAAGAATGCATCCTTATTCATTCCAGGAGTTGTAACCTCATATATAAGAAGTGTCTTTAATAAACAGAATATAGTCACTTGGACCTTCCTCCACAACACTGAATTTCCTAATCAGCAATAATTAAAAAAAATCTGATATTGTAGAGATCAAAACCTTCTCAGTGGGAAGAGAAAAAAAAATCATCACTACCTTTTGACTGAGAAACTGAATATTATTTTGGGCTTTAGGAGATCCAAGTGAAAGATATTTCTATTTTGTTCACAAAAAAAAAGAGCAAGAGAAGACAAAATACAGTAAGACTGAATAGCAAGAATCTGCAAATATGAAAGATAACCATTACGTAGCGGAGGTGTATACAGGTGTTTCAGAAATAGATCCACAGTTTTTTTCTTCCAGACACACAGACTGAGACTCCCTTTGGTCCTTCACACCAAGTTTTCTTACCATGGAATCAGATATGATGAGAGCAAGAGGGAGAGGAGGGAAACATTTTACACTCGAGTCTTATTCCAAGATGAATTTAGGATTCAAGAGCTGAGAAGTACTTCCAGCTGCTTCAGGATAAGCTCTGTAAGTAGACTTACAGAGCATTTACACTTCTAGTTAGGTGATGGAAAAAAAAAAAAAAAGGAAAAGATGACTCTGATTTGTCTTTGGTCATCTCTTTCTACACACTCAGAAGTGATGAGCTGACTGTGTCCTTTTCTTTTCCCTCTAGATAAGTAAGGTAAAGGTAATTTAGTAGAGACCTACTTTAAAAAACAGTCAGATTTCCGCTTTGTAAATGCATATGTATGAAGGCCATATACAGTCTCACTGAACACAGGCAGTAGCCCCTGGATTTTTCAGTTATTCACATAATTCTAATGTAATTCACATATATTCTAATACCATAAGCATTTATGATTTGAAAATGCAGAATAACACTCAGCTACCTTGAAGCTCCAAAATTTTGCCCTTAAGACTCCAAAATTTTCCTTAGCAAAGCTTGCTGCTCTGCTACTGCTGGCTGCATGCATAATCACCCAAATCCTGATGGCACTGAGCACTGTGGTGCCTTATCCCTATCAGGATCATAAGCCTCTGCTTATCTTTGTTCTTGCGATGGAGCCTCAAGGTGATTTCAGAAGCCACCACAGTATCTTCCCTAGGCTGGGGGAGCTCAGGCACTTCTGGAGACTGGTTATGTTAATCAACAGAGCTCCCCAAATTAGGGAGCTGGAGGACTGATTCTAAGCTCCATTGCAAATACTGCATCATATACTGAATTTATAATAGCATATACAGAATGTATGGTAACTGCTACATTTTTAATGGTCATTTCTAGAGACAGGCTTTTTTCTTATGCATAATGAACGCAGAGATGTAGCTAGCATTTAGACTCATTTTCTGAGTTATTCAGCAGCTCTTCACAAAATTAAGAAATAAAAATATTTTTCTTATATATTAAGATGACACAGGCTGTATTACTGTTGATATTTATCCTGTAAATTTTCTAATCCAGAAGAGTAAGGCAGTTTTAAACCCTTGATGCAAAGAATTATCTCAGATAGGCCTAGAACGTGTATTTCAGTTTGTTCTAGAATGACTGATGTAATTCTTACCAATTCTCTGGTTCTGCCTTGTATCTGGAAGTGAAAAGATATCTCCCACATTTCCTACTTTTCTCCATGCCAGCAAGAGAGAGCTATATGGAAGAGGAGAAATTCTTGGAGAGTAAAAAGAAAAAGAAAAAAAAAAAAAAAAAGGAAGAGTTTTTTGGAACTGCTCCAAATAAGGATATATTTTCATTTAGAAAATCTAGGATACTTACCATGGCTGACACTGCTTACTACCCCAAAAGGCAACTTAGAATTATCAAATAGTTTCAGGTATTAATATAACTTAAGTTTCCTACTTCCCTCATTAAATGAGTGTTATAGGATTTTACCTTTCCTTAACTCAACAGGTATGTGGTTGGGCCAGGGGTTTTACCTGTAATGAAGGGTCACAAATTTAATAAAGTTAATTTAACATACTTACACATAGAAAATATTATTTTTTATTTTTTTTCTTGGGTGGAACAAAAATGGTCATCTCCATTAGCTCTTTTATATTTTAATACAATTTACTGCATAAGTAAGAACTTACGAAACAAACTACTATGTTGAATGCTAAATCGGTATTTGGATACTTAAAAGGCAAACACAAGAAAAATAAATTATATCAGCATTTTGCATACACTGCTGTTATTTTTAATAGCATTTATCAGGTTAGAATTAGTGATTAGGGTCAAAAATTACAATTAAAAAGACAGATAAGTGAATATGATTTAGTGAAATACATTTTGACGCAGCAGTTGTTTCTTGTCAGTTCAATTAAATTTACTCAGGGGATATCACTTCCGGCCATAATCTGCATGCTTCAGATGATAATCTGCTTTACACACAACTGCTTTATGTCTGAATGCATGCAAAGTTTGATAAGAGCTATACATTTGAGTTTTCATCATTTATGGCATTCAATAGCAAATTTTAAAATTATTATTTTACAATATTGCATAGGAGAAGATAGTAAGTTTTTCCGTACATTTAATGTATGTATATATAAATTTTATAAAACTTAGCCATCAAAGAATACTTAAAGGGACAAGGTCTTGTTTTGAGCATTTTCATCCAGCGCTAGCAAAATTGAGAGGTGTGTAACTGGCAGTCATCCTGTCTTACCAATACATTGCATAGGATACTCTCCAAAAGATATATAAAGAATCGAGAAGCACAGACAGAGGTTGGAAAGAGTTTTACATTTATAATCACTCATTCCTAAATGGCAGATCTCCTCATTAGAGATGGAGAAAGGATGGAGTGTGTCTCAGAACCGAGCTTGGTGTGAGAGGTGTAGCAAAGCAGTAGAATCCAAGGGTTATATCTAAGTATATCTAGCTATATACTAGAGATGTAAAAATGATTCCAGTCTCATCCTTGGGCTTCAAGCTATTATCTGTGGTTTGGGTGTAACCTTGCGGTTCTAGCTGTTACAACAACAGAAGCTATTTAGCTGCTGATTCCAGTTTTAAAATCTAATTGTTGTCCAGATCTGTTAGATTCAGAGCAAGGTTTTAAGAAATGTTGAATGAGAACAGGAGACTCTTTTGACTGGTCATAACTGGGGGGGATTTCATCAGAAGATGTCCGGAAGTAGATGTAGACAATACACTGGAAGATTTCGTTAACTTTTACAAGGAGACCTGCTATATTCTCTAATTTTATGACATTCATTGAAATCATTGCTATTTGGAAGGCCCCTGCTTTAGTAACTTGCAGCTGACTTCAAGTTTACTTGCTTTTTAAATCTTTTCCTCGTTCTTCTTTTTTTCCCCCCCCTTTTTTTAGTTGGATACACAATGAATGATCTCATTTTCGAATGGCAAGAAAAGGGAGCTGTCCAAGTAGCAGAAGGGCTCACCCTGCCACAGTTTCTGTTGAAAGAAGAAAAGGATTTATGCTACTGCACCAAACATTACAACACAGGTAGGAGAGCATTTTGATGATTGAAACTAGAAAGACATTTCCTACTGCTTTGGAGAGGTCTCTTTTTAAAAAAAGTATTCTCACTGAACTAGCATGAAGACATAACCTGTGTTTTGCAGGGTGCAAAATATATAAAATAGCTCGAGCAAAGAACATGCAGGACTGGGGAGAGACTCAGCGGGTCATTCATAAAGACTGTCCTCTTGCCACTCAGAGCACTTTTCAGCGCTGAGTTTATCACAGCTGCCATGATACCCTAGGGGAGGAAAATGATCCCTGAACTCTACTTGGAGCAAGGAGGTATTAACACTGACATATTGAAGCTTTCCCCAAAGGAAACCAGACATATCTGACAGGCACACCTTTACTGTACAAATACCAGTATCTGGGTAATCCTCAAAAAGCTTCCAAAAATGGACATATGTGTCCTATAGGAAGATTCACTCAGACATCACTTTGTTAATGAGAATACTGAAATTAACATTATTTTACTATTTTACCAAAATCTGTGCAAGAAACAAGAGGACAAGACTTATTTTAACGATTTTCCTCTGTCTCTTTCTAATAAAGCAGGCAATCTTGGCTTCATGTTTAGGGCTCTCCTGCTCCGTGTGCCCTATAACTGTACTTCTATAGGCTGTGCTAGTTGCATTTAGAAGAATATTTGCTGTAGAAAGTATTCTCTTAATTTGCAGTGTAGTGTATCAAAAATCTCTCAATTAGGAATTAAAAGCATTACTGTGAGACTTTACCTAGTGCTGAATGGAAACGTGTATTAAAGTGTCAGAATTTCCAGTGGCATCCAAACACTTCTCTAGAAAAAAAAAAGTTTGGTTTTGTTAAAGGTTTATGAAGGCATCACTTTGAAATTCCCTGTGAAAAATCCAAAATGTTTCTCCTTTCATTTAAAAGTTTCATTTTCATAATCCTGAACTGTTTCATAGCAGTAAGATAAAAAATGTTGATAATCTCTAACAAATGTGATCACCGTAAGAATATAACACAACCGTTACCAAATATTAACATGTAACAATACATTAAAATATTTTAATATGGTCAAAATCAGACTCTCTCTCCATTTAAGTAGCTCCCCTTTACTATAACAAGGGCGTGTTAAATATACTTTGGCAGTTTTCTCATACCTTTTGCTATTGTATTTTAAACATTTTGATGTTGACCGAGACTTCACTCAAAAGGTAGTTTTAAGTCAATACCTTTTATTATTAATACGTTTCAGATCTGTTTAAGGTGGAATTAGTTTTGCTTTAAGCAGAAGCAGGTGAACATACCAGACCACAGCCTAACACACTAGACCCCTTGGATTCACCCTGGCTCACATGTTGGCCATGATGGCCCTAAAATGCAAAGGGAAGGGGCAAGAGCAGATGTTAGCGAGAGCATACGGGGGCTCAGGACCTTTAGCCTGTGCCTCTGGGCAAGCACAGGTGCTCATCCCTGTGAACTACTGTCAGATTTAGGCAGAAGAAGGCCTTTACAGTCATAAGCTTTGCGGGGAAGGTGGGCTCGGACACTCTGCTAGGGTCCCACCAGCCTCGGTGCAGGGGGACGCTGGCAGGGCTGCACTGAACAGAAAGCTCCTGTTAGTGCCCTGGGATTGCAGTTGCTGGGACATCCCCCTCTACAAGATAACACTGCTGTTGCACTCCGAGGTTCTGGGGAGTTGGGTCTTTTTTATTATTATTATTACTATTCAGTAGGAAGTGAGCTGCAGCAAGTCAGAGGGTTTCGTTGGGCTTTGGGAAGGTGGGAGAGCCTTTGCTTTCTCTGTTAGGACCTGTATTAACTACTCCGTGAGGCTAAAAGACACGAAGCATGATACTAAAAGACAAGAAGTCAGTGTTTCTTTTCTTCCATCACACTATTCTAGTGTGTAGTCACTAATATCCTTTCTCTAAGGTTTCCAACATGAGTTGCTGCAGACTGACTCTTCTTTAAGACAATCACCAAGAAAAAAAATCATTTTAAAGCAAAAATAAACTTATTTCTCTGGCCCACAGGAGATGACATTAAATGGGATTCCTAAAAAGGATGCTGAGCAACTGCAGCTGGTGCACTCAGTGATCAACTAACCATTTTCATTACAAATTTAGTCCCAGTACAGGACAGAAAGCTTTTCTGAGACATTGTGTAAAATGGAAAACAGCAAAAGTCCCTGTGAAACAAATCAGCATGATGCTTCAGCACAGTATGTGGAAACTCATCAGCACATGTTTTATCAGTGCTTCATGCCCAACTGACAGTGCATGTCTAACCGTAGCTTGGAAAACAGATTCCAAATATAGGGACAAAATAGTTTGCAGCAGAATGGCTCATCAAGTCTTAAGTTCCAAAGTGATGCAACATTTCTGATCCCTTCAGCTGTCTGTATTCACAAGCCTCTCTTCAATGACAGATTTGGGAAGTGAACTGTAATCACAATAGCCAGGAAAATAAAAAGTCCCATTGACATTGCAAGGATTGCTGGTTTGGGGAGCAACACCCTGCTTTAATTTCAATCACAGGTACCAGTGGCTGCAGAAAGCCCAACATAACAATGGTGTGAACTTGTACATAGCATTAACTAGCAAAAAAAAAAAAAATAAAAAATAAATAAAAAGCTAGCAAACACCAGTTGAAGTACTTGGAATAGCCTGAATACTGACTGGTGTGACTTGGTTCTGTTTAGGGCTATTTTTCATACCTCTGTATCTTTAGGAAGGTAAATCTGCTCGATTCCCACAGGGCTTCTTCTAATGAAGAGCAGACTGAGATTCTGTAATTTTAACCTCTACTGAATAAAATATCATCAGCTGTCTGGAAGTAAAGGCCTTACATCTCGCTGTCCTTGCTAGCTAGATTGCTACTAGAGTCTCCTTAGCCGCTGCTTCTCCCTAATGCAGCACAGCACGTGACAAGCTTCCCACCTCACAAGGATGTGCCAGGGACTTGTGTTCAACACAGTATCTCCCAGGCTTCCAAGTCCTTTCCTGTAGCACTGCTACCCATCCAGTCCATCCCCAGCCTGCCTCACATCACCCTGTCCATGGTGCAAGACTGGGATTTGTCTTTGCTGAAGGTCAAGGAGGATGCTGGTTTGTTCCTCCAGTCTGTGGAGGCCCCTCTGGGCAGTTGTTTGGCCTTCAGAGGCAGTCATTTTAAGAGTGAATTTCTGCAGCAGAAAAAGGAGTACATGATCATTTCCAAATACTTTTCATTCTTCTCTTAGTGTTTTCATTAATTATCAGTCTTATGCCAACAGTCAGCTTTTACCTGCACCGGAATTTACTTCTAAGCTACCTTTCTTTCCAAGGAACTTATGTATCCTGTAAATGGACAGCCCTGTAGCCCTCTTTTTTCATAGCCATTGTCTTGAAAGGAAGAAAAAAAAAAAAAAAAGACATTCCTAAACTCTTTCACTCTTTTTGTGGATCTTGGCTTTAGATACACAGACAGCAGCCATATATTTCAGAATTTGGCTGGTTCTGCATCCCCAACATTCAAAAAATCATCATTTCTAGCCAGGCTGCATGATCAAAGTCTCAGTCTGAATGTTTTATGATGAGGAAAAGCCAAGTATTTTCCAAGCAGTTTTTAACAGCAAGATATACTAAAATTGCAATTTATATTCCCCCATAAATTGCAAAGGTTTTCTGGGCACTGCACTTACTAAGTGTCTTTTGTTACTTTTATACCTAGAGAGATATGAAAAAATATTTCAACTTTATTTATATATAATTCATTTTCTAGATAAAGTCTCTTCAAAAAAACAGCTTAGCCACACATACCACGCATACATGCTTCAGGGAATATATTGCTTGTTTAAGAAATTCCACAAAGAGCAAGCATAAGGGGAGAAAATATTTAGCAATATTTCAGTAACAAGCAAAACAGAGTGCATATCAAATGACTGCATAACATTAGGAGAAATAAAAATCTTTGTACTGAACATTAATAAGCACAGCCAGACCTCTTGCCTAATGTTATCTGATAATGACTCAAACAGGAGAGAAAGTAAAAGCAGCACCTGTGGCTTGAGCACTGATCTTTCTTCATCAATATAAGAGTAATGATCGTCTTTTCATGTCCTCTGTCTAATTTCATTCCTTCCTTGGATTACAAAAGACAAAAAGCTACCACCCTGATTGCTACCTGCTAGAGAACAGACACAAACAATCAAACACATCTGTCAACTGAGCATGGCTGTACCTGTCCCACTGGCTATCCATCTGCAGTGCAAGCCATGTGCCATTCTATTAGAATGCTAGCTATGCTAAAAAAAAAAGTTTATTAGAAATTTTGAAAAGTTTCTAGCAACTAACTTTAAAAAACAAAACAAAAAAAAAATCCAAAAGAGAAAAAAGACAGACTTTATCGCCGCTTGATAAATGAAGAAAGAACATTTTCTTTTACCCTGTTATATAAATACACTGAGAAATTGCTCATTTTTAGACTAATGCAAAATCCAACATGATTTGATAATTAGTTAGAAAAATGAAAAGATTTCCCTTAAAGTAAATTTCAACAGAATTTTGAACTTGATAATGATCATATTTTTCACAAATAGACAAATAGTAACTACTTTCCTCTGAAAACTACTTTTGCCTCCAAAAAAATTCAAAAATTGAGCTGACAAAATTTTAATTCTAGAATTCTGCAGTGTTGCCTTACAGGAAAGTTAGTGTGTGTATTTCATGTTCCTTTTTCATGCTATTTGTTTGAAATCCTGGCAGCTACATAGTGGGATACCTAACATGAGGTTAATGATGGTCTTATTTTAGTAGACGCAGACCAACCTGAAACTTCAGCTTCACAAAGGGGAAGGGGAACTGCTGGTGCGCTGTACATCATCTCTTTTATAGCAGCACAATGTATCACACTGAAAAATACTTCTCTCTTCAGTCAATCAGTTCTTTAAACTAGACCATAATATTGTTCTCTGAAAGAAGTATCAGCATTGTATATCTTTATAAGTAGAATGTATCCCATTCAGCATTTTTTGA